GGAGTGGCTGGTGGATTTGAACTGCCGACCTTTTGGTTAGCAGCTGAGCTCTTAACCACTATGCCACCAGAACTCCAACACTTGCCTTAGTGCTTTAATATTCTCTAAACTCTCTGTGTTAGAACAAGCCCTGGTCCTGGTCCCAGGTGAGATTGTGTCCCCGACACAGCACTTGCCAACTCTTACGCGAAGAAGTGGCCTTTATAATTAAACGGTGATTGATGCACCATGAAGCTCCCTTGAGAAAGTGGGGAGGAGTCACCAAGGGATTAATAGACAGCAAACCGTAACACCCGAAAGGAAAGTGCTCCTTAGAAAAATCATCTATATGAGACCAAAGGGGCAACATCTATCCAAAAGCAAAGATGAGAAGGCAGTAAGGGGCAGGAACACCAGATGAAAGGAACTCGGGATGGTAATGGGGAGAGTGCTGACACACTGAGGGGATTGCACGGAACAATATGTATATAAATTACTGATTGGGGGACTAAATTGCTCTGTAAACCTTCACCTAAAACACATTAACATGTAAAAAAAAAAAAAAAGAAAAGTCAGCAACCCCCAAGCCTGCACACTTACAAAACTGGGCCTTCCACCGTGACGAACAAAGTAAACATCCTTCAATCAGATTATCTACTTCCATGTCACTCTGTGTTTAATTCACTCATGCTGCCTCTCAGCCTACAGTAATGACTTATTTGACCCTTTCAGCCTTGTCTTAGCTGTTCTACGGGAGTTATACAAATAAGGATTTTATATGCACAGCAGGACCATAGTATTAACAATGGAACAATGTCCCCCTGAGACTAACACGGGGTGGCAGTAATAATCAGCAAGAGGCCCTAAGGGGAAGGTCAGTCTTGGGGACATGGGCCACTTAGTCCAACAATTCTTCTCATCTGAGAGATTATTATTCTAGTACAACCTTGGAAATTCTGGGTTTTATTATTAAAAAACAAAGTGTCATTTTCTTCTTTTTGGGCAAGTTACTTAAGTTTCTGAGCTCTAGTTTATTCATTCAACAAATATTTATTGAGCACCTTCTACATATCAAGTACTGTTCTAGGTTTAGGGGTACCAAACCGAAAAACCAAACCTGCTACCATCGAGTTGATTCCAATTCATAGCGACCCTGTGGGACAGAGTAGAACTGCCCCATAGGGTTTCCAAGGGGCGCCTGGTGGATTCAAACTGCTCACCTTTTGGTTAGCATATGAGCTCTTGACACTGCGCCATCAGAGCTCCTTTAGGGGTACACTGTTAATAAAACAGACAAAAATCCCTGCCCTCAAGGGGTTATTCAAGGCAGAAAGACAATAAGCAAAATAAATAAAATAAATGTATAGCATATTGGATGGTGATAAGAGTTATAAAGAAAAATAAAACAAGTAAGGGTGATAAGGAGTGTGTGTGAGGAGAAGGTTGAAATTTTAAATAGGATGGTCAGAGAATGCCTTACTAATCAGCCTGTATTTGAACAATAACCAGCTATGCATAGTTTCAGGGAAAGATCATCCCATGCAGTGGTAATTCCAAGTGCAAAGGCCCTGGGGCAGGAGCATGCCTATAAATTTTAGAAACAGCAAGGAGACCAGTGTGGTTGGCCTCAACTATAAATGAAGATAATTGTATCCATTTGAAGGGGTTGAGTGCCAGCACATGCCAGCCATGGAGTGGGTACCCAATACATGCCAATTCCTTTTTCCTTTCTTACCTGCAGCACCTACCTTGTATGTAGTAAGTGCTTAGTAAATGTTAGTTGAGTTGAATTGAATCTATTTAACTGTTTAAAATAAAACTTAGTTTAAGTGTTCTATAAGGGGGAAATCATTGGAACTATCAAACCAGATCAAGTGATGCATTTAAGACAGTTCAAATTATTTTATTGCTCAAAGAGAGGTTTCTAGATAAAATACAGGTTTAAAGATAATACCCTACTTCTGCCCCAGCTGCTTGGACCTTTTTTCCCCAATATCTCATGTTCTGGACTGTTCTAACACCTCCTTTCCTATTGCAACTAACCTAACTGTGTTCTGGTCCCTCAGGACTCAGCTCCTTAATTCAAGGTTTCCCAACCTGAAGTTCCCAAATCCCCAGGGTGTCTATGGGAGTCCACAACTTTTAGAACATTTCAAAAAGTCTTAAGGAATCCTGTATTACCACAGTAATGCTGTAGAGGCTACCCAAAACACCAAATTTGTTTCTGAATTATATCCTCTCCATATGTCACCTCATGCTGATAAAAGATGATTAATATTTATATATTTGTTTAATTTTTTTAATTAACAAATGTTTGTGCATAAAAAATTTTTCAGAACATAAGATTGTAGTAGCAAGTATAGATAGTTAATAAAAAGATTATTTGGTGGTGAAAAGTTTGAGGTGTACTATGTAATTCAGATGACGCTACTCTCTAGCCACACTCATTAATATCTAGAAGGGGTGAAGATACATCCATTACCAGAAAGAAAATTTACATCCTCATTCAACAGAAGAATGGCTTTGCCATGCAGTCCTGCATGACCCTTGCAGAGATAGCCTGTGCCAACTTTCCAGGCAGGGTGGCTGGAGTGGAGGAGAAAAAAAGCCATAGTTCCAGACAAAACATCTTACTATATATTAATCTTTACAAGGAAGTTAATTTCTGACTTCTGTCAACACCTCTGGGCCAAGATTTTCCCTAGATACCTTTCCTTCACCAGCAAAATAATACTGTTTTTTAAATGTATCATTTTATACAAGACTATTGACAGCTCCCTAGTTTATTCCTGTACATACTTAAATTTGAGCTGTTATTTCCATTGGAAGTAATCTCGTTAACACTTGCTAAATCTGTGTGGAAGTCTGACTAATACCTCTGCCTTCTCATTCACGTATATGCCTTATGCATTATGTCACCTTAGCTACATCTCCAAGCTGGATATAATAAAGATCTTAATCATAACATGGGCTTCGCTTCTCTCTCAGGAATTGCATTACATCACAAGGTATTGTCACGTTCCCATGCAGAAAAAAAAGAAATGTACTGGAAAGATTTTAACTCTTGAAGGCAGATTTTTTTTTTTTTTTAATGAGGATTGCATTACTGTCCCATGTCTTCATTGATGACTAATCTCCTCTAGTTTGACCATAGCTAAGAAAGTTTTTGAAATCCTTAACTTTGGTGAACAGCAATAAATACACATTTAGATAGCAACAACTGTGGGAATTATTTCAAGTCTAAATTGATGGGACAATCTAAATAATTTTCTCTTTCAGTCAGACTACTCTTTTAGATTTAACTATTCTTGCTTATATTCAGAAAATATGTTTCTTCATAACTAATTAGACATGGCACTTTTTTTTTTTTTTTAATATTTTATTGTACTTCAGGTGAAGGCTTACAGAACAGATAGTTTCTCATGTAACAGTAACACACATGCTGTTTTATGACATTGGTTAAC